AACACTCCTAGAAAGTCCAAAGAAAATCCAAAGTGAAGAGAGAAGACAAAGTTGACATTGTATTTACTGGTTATGTCCTTGCTTATGAACGATCTATAAGTGCTCTCTTGGCCTTCCTTGGTTCTAGATTCTTCAACTTGTAAGATGCCACCTCTTTGGATGCCAAAAAAGCATGTGTGTAGTGGTAATGCAAATTTTGAGATGATTGTGGTGGAAGGCTTGACAAGAGAAGTGAGTCATGCGGAGGTTCAAATTAATTCCGATGGAAGGCTTGACGAGAGGATGAAGTCTCTTAATGCAAGCTTGATAGGAAGGTGTGTTGGAATGGATATGGAGGAAGTAGTCGCCTGGGCTTCTTTTGAATGGGGTAAAGATAGAGTTTTGGGTGTCAGAAGGCTGAATGGGGGACTATACTTGTTTATGTTTCATAGCAGGAAGGATGCGGAGTGGGTTCTGGAGTCTGAAGCTAAGTTGAGTAGGGGCTGTGACTTATGATTAAGCTGGTGGTTTCCAATGGCAGGTTTCCTACAAGAAGGCAAAAGGAGGAGGGCAATGTAGATTGGTGTTTTGGGAATCCCCTTGCATGCATGAAGTGATGTATCCTTCAGAGTGATTGGGGATGCTTGTGGTTAATTCTTGACTGTTGATGAAAGGAATATCTGCTAGGAGAAGATCAACATTGCAAGAATTTTGGTGGAGGTTGATGAGGTCTCTGCCATTCCAGGTTGTTTTGTTTTGGTTTTTGTAGGTTAGAAATACGACCTAAAAATTTTTGTCTAGGGAGAGGATACTACCTTTTTAGAGTGTGTCGAAAGGAGAGAAGGAAGGAATTTTGAGAAGCCTGAAACAGGGCTGGAGTTTCAGGACGGTTGCTTTGTTTAAGAGGTGAAGAGCTGCTTGAATGAGGAGGACGATGGAGGGGATGATACAAGGGGCATAGCGGTAATTTCGGGTGGGACATGGACTTTAATAGAGAGGTACGTGGTTGGAGTTGGCAAGGATAATATGAATAGATGCTGGTTGGAGGTGTAGGGATGAGAGATCCATCATATGGATGGCGGAACCCTGTAGAAAGGTTGGGCGAAATTTCAAAAATTTCTTTCTCCCATCTGGAAATCGCATTCCTTATTTTAGAAAACCGCATTTTCAAGGATCAATCTTGAGCCAAAACCGGACCTGATCTGAAATCAAAAGGGAGGAGAGGGATATACCTAATACGAAGTAGCAGTAACTCCCAATGAAGGTGTTCACGCCCAAGGAGAAAACCAAAACCCGCTTCCACTGAAGATGACACAGTGTGTGGTGAAGCAGGATCAGCAGGACGAATTCTTCAGCAAGAACTGAATTCTTCAGCAAGAATGGAGTAGAGGGCTGGTGAGTACGACTTCAAATTGCTTCTTCTACCAAGAAACAATATCAAGAACAATTCTTGATCACTCCCACAAGTGGAGATCAAACTGGGTAGGAGCGTCAAGAACAGGGAAGAATTTTGCAGATTGCTGTGGTGTGTATAACTGAGGAATTCACCCCCTTTATTTATAGCCTTCTCAGGATCAGCCTCCTAATCCAATTAGGAGAGAGTTCCTTAATCCAAATATGATATTTGAATCTAGACTCTTGAATGGATAAGACTTATCTTATCCTTCAGCTAATCCTAATCAGATTATAAATCCTATCTTGCCTCCTTTTAATTAACTAACTTAAGCCCAATTCGAATTGGGCTTTAGGCGCATTAGGTTTATGTGCTCACTTAGCCTCTTAACCTGTTGCCCAATTGGCTCTCTTTGTATGGCGTGGGACCCAAACATTGATATACACATCGGCCACATGGGTTCAACCCAACCTTTGTTACAAGGCCTGGCTGAATTCACTATAGGAGACCGTGAACCCCTGAGTCCATCACCATGGGCTCTTAATGGGCCCAACATTTACACTAAATGGTCCTTGGGTCTAGCCACCTTATGAAAACCCAAGGACTGTGGGCAGATGCAAGATTAGCCCATCAGGTATTACCCTCAATGGTCTTACACTTAACCTCTCAACCCAAAATGATCAAACACTGCCCGACAAGAGAGGACCTCTCCCTCAATTGCAAGGAACAGTGCTGCACTCTCTACTCACATGGATCCCGGGAATTAAAACCTTTTGCAAACATTTTGAAACCATACTATATATATGTATATCTCTATGTAAATATATTTTGCAAAAACAAATTTCAACGGTTGAAATCAACTGTCGGCAGTTTAGGTTTCTATCAGAGAGAGTGCATTCCCCGATCATTTACTTTGTCTGACAAAGGGGCTGATCCAATCACTATGATCACCCACTTAGGTGAATTCTCAGACTGTCCCAACATACCCAGGTTTTGACCCTCTCTAAGAATCTCACTGATTGGCATATCAAAGACAACCCAATCCGACACCTAGTGCAGTACCATAATCGAGTCTAGGGGTCAGGTGTAACATTCTATTTTTGCTCATCTATCTCCAAGGTCCAGGGCAACACTAGAATTTTGGTCCAGTTCAGGGTTTCAAGAAAACCACACTGCATGTACCTCAGGTCTCACTCTGGCAGCTAAGACAAGCCACCCCAACCAACTTGGCGGCACATCAGTGTCAGCCTTGGCAGGATAAATCTCCCCAGATCTATCCAACGGTTGTGATGATCCTAAACTAACATGAGTCTCATAAGTGTCCAGTTTAAGGGTATTACACAGAAACACACCAAAACACATGAATCAATTATGTACTTTTATTCATTTACATTAAATGTCATCAAGTACATCAATTTGATTGGAGCTAAGGGCATACACTGTCTAACAGGAGGGTGGGAGTTTAATAGCAAATTTCAAGGGGATATGCAAAGGGTTACAAGGCTTGTTTAAGACGTTGGATGCTGAGAGTGGGGACCACTCCCTGTGATCGAGATTTAAGAGGGTTTGTAGTAGTTTTAGGCGCAACAAAATAAAGTTAAGAAAATGATTTGGCGCCAAGGCTTTGCAGTTCAAGAAGATAAAGAGAAAGAGGGATTTCCACTGGCTTCAATTTGGCAAGGCGAAGGATTGGGTTTGGGTCATCACTAACTAAGATAGCTCTAGAAAAAAATCTGAGCCTGAAAAACAAGGAGAGCCGTACTGATGAGAAGGAGCTTCATGGTCTTGTGAGTGGTGAAGCTATTTTCATTCCAAGGGAGACAGATGTTGGGAGATCGGAGGAATAGACAAAGATATAATCGGCCTTTAGGTAGGCCTATTTGTTTTTGCTCTTTTGTGGTGAAAATTCTTGTTGGTCCACCCAAGGATCGAAATATCGCAATGTACTAGGGCGTATTGACTGATACGTATCTTATTGGGGCCCCTCTGATACGCCCCTATACTTAGTGTTCCGGGGTCTCACCTATTTCATGGGGTAGGTGGGCCTTAAATTGACCCCCTTGAACCGGTTTGAAAGAAAAAAAACTAAAAAAATAAAGGGGAGCTTTGGTGCAGGCCAATACGCCCCATCCGGTGAATCGACTTGTATCGATACTTTTGAACCTTGATCCACCCCTAAGTGGGGCATTTGGTGTCATTTGACTGGGATTTCGCTAGGGTTGAGGGAGACGGGAAAAATGGAGGCTGGGGTGGAGAAAGGAGAGGAGGAGGACTAAGGGGGATGAAGGTTCTCAGAAGAGATGCAGAGGAGGGGGGAATTCAAAGGAGGGGCAGCCAGGAGGTTAGAAACAGGCAGTTAGACTGAAGAAGCGAGCAGAACAGACAAGAATGGTGAGTCGGAAGTTCGAGAAGAGTGTTTACACTTTGAAGTCCCAGTTGGAATACTTGAGTTGACTTAGGCTGAAGAAGGAATTCTGAGATCAAGGAAAGGGATGCTTCTGCTTCAGAGTCTTTGGAGAAAGTAAGAGAGGTGAGCAAGTTCGTCAAAAGTTTTTTTTCCCCACGTTTGAAAGATGGTTTGGTTGGTGCTGGTCCTACCAACAAATTCAAGAAACCTTATAAGAAAAAAGGCTCAAAAGATAAAGCTTTAAAGGTGAAAGTTGCCGAAATCAAGGGAGCCAAGTGTCAAGATTCACAAGGGGATCAGTTGCAACGGATACTGGCTTCTGAAGAAGGTTTGGAGTTGAGGCCAGAGTTTGAGGATATGGAAGGAAGGGGTAATTGAGATAGTGAAAAGGGCTCAATTGCGACTTCATCAGTCAGTGTGGGTGAGAAGGGATGTTAGGGTGGGCAAGAGCTTAAGCCTGTTTTATTGGGGTGGAGATTTAACTAGAAAGGATTTTGAAGCTTTTCAAAAAGGTAAGAGGGAAGAAATCCTGAAGAAGATCGCAGTTGGGGAAGGAGGAGAGGCGTGGAATGAGAAAGGAGTTGAAGGAGAAGGATAAGATGAAATGCTTGAAGAAGACTTTTTAAGTTTGCTCTGTCTCGGGGTGGCTTTCAGCTGCTTCCCTCTGTTTTGCAATCTTAATTTTTGTTTTTTTTTTGCAGTTGAAGGGTGGGTGTTATCTAAACACCTTGTTTGTTGTTTGTACTTGATCATTTTTCTTTCAATAAAATTTTTGTTTTTACCTTTCAAAATAAATTACTATATCATTTAGAGTGATGCACTGAAACTGTCTTATTATAATTGATCTCCAATCATTTGTGAAATCAACCACTGTTGCTCCAAAAAACTGTTGCAGCACTCTAGCCCACTTAATAAGACCCTGCTCAATCTTCCCCCAAATTCTCTTCCTTTTGGAGTATCCTTCATAAACAAATTAAAAATATTTTTTACTATATTCCAAATTTACCCTTCAATCTGGACTTATGAACTAACTTGCCTTGTCTAAGTAGTATATCAGGATTATACAAAAACCATTAAACCATGTTTAGTATGCCCAATTAATATATACTGTACTATTGCTAATATAAATTCTTAGCTGAATTGCTGGAAAGAATTTTAAAAAGAACATGGCTGGTTTGTGGATATGTAAATGTATGTTAGTTAAGTTGATTTTTGTGCCAGATTAAAAGGTGTGGAGAAATGGCACGTAAACTGCGCTTTTTCAAGGAACAGATGACAAAGGCAGGTTTGACCCCTTCAACAAGGCCTCTGACACGGGTTGACATTGATCTTGATAACTTGGAGGTATTTCCACTATTGATCAGTTTGATTTGGAACATATTATATTTCATGTTCTAATCTTTCCTTTTGTTCTGGATTGGTAGACAAAACTTGGAGAACTTGAAACTGAGCTGATAGAGATAAATGCGAACAGTGATAAGTTGCAACGAACTTACAGTGAGCTTTTAGAGTATAAACTTGTTCTACGGAAGGTATGGCTTTGCTGGATACGCTTGATATGTTACTTATGCTGCTTATTCTTAGGCATGGGCTGGCATAGTAAGGACATATATAAAATTAAAATTTCTGTCTACCATTATTATGCAATAATTCAACTATCACAGAAGGGGCCTTTGGCCATTGCTTGGTGCTATAGTTATACTTGGCTGATATGCATGAGAACACAGGATCTAGTCTGACTGTGGCCTCATGCTAGAAAAAGCTGAAGGTTAGGTTTCCAGTCCACCCCTCCCATGACCCCAGATAGTTAGGACAAATATTGGGTAATGGCCCTTAATTCAACTAAGATAAGTGATACTTAATTACTTACAGTGTCTTACTTATTTTTGGGACACAATTGATCAATGACGTTCACATTATATTTTATCAAGAAACCTGTGCTTGGTATTCTTTTTAATTTATTCTTATATACTGAAAGGCACTTTCAATTTCCTAAGAACAAACTTGTTTCTTAATTAATCAACTTAGATTCAATTAGTTCTCATGCAAAACAGAGAGATCCATTTTCAGCAGATATGTTTCACCAGTTAGTATTTTATTCTTTTGAGACTTCTACCATTGTCAGATTGTTAAGTCACATTACATGAATTTTATCCTGTTTTCAGGCAGGTGAGTTTTTCTACTCAGCGCAGAGTAGTGCAACGGCTCAGAAGAGAGAAATTGATGCTCGCCAAATGGGCGAAGTATCCATTGACAGTCCTTTATTATTGGAGCAGGTAAATTGTTTTGGCTTCTGTCTCAAATTATTAGTGTTGGATAAAACATTTTCTTCCTTCCTTTTTTTTCTGAAATAATAATTTGATTGGGATTGGATGTTACCTAGGAGATGTCGATCGATCCATCAAAGCAAGTGAAGCTAGGATATGTCAGTGGCCTTGTACCCAGAGAAAATTCAATGGCATTTGAAAGAATTCTATTTCGTGCTACTCGGGGTAACGTGTTTCTGAGGCAAGCTGTAATCGAAGAGCCTGTGATGGATCCTATGTCCGGAGAAAAGGTTAATATTAGGACTTTTCTTTTTCAATTGTGTAGCCTTGTCAAACAAATGCAAATGAAGGTGTTTCTTTCCATAAGATCCCTTAACCCCACCAACAAATGTAAATAAATAATAGTTACTAGACTTTTGAAGCATTCTATGGGATGACAATTTTAATGCTTTTGCTTCTATTTTCAATTTTCTTTAGAAGTTTAGGTTAAAGCATGGTATAGCCTAAATGACCAACTAGGCAGGTGGTGTAGATATGAACAGTTTTGGTGAGCCAAATGTTTAACTATACCCCCTCTTATATATTGAGTGTATGTAAGTAACTAACTATGAAAATCAAGGATCTTTGTCTCTGTTAATTTGAATTAGGGGGGTTATCTAAAAAAATCTTTTCCTTTCTTTTCTGAATATCAGGTTTATTGTAGTTGTGATTTAATCCTTGGTCATTTAATTTGCAGTTCAATAGCTTATTAAGAAGTCATTACAAGATACTTTTATATAATAAATTAATAATCATATATCGAAAATGTTTCTTTGAAAATCAGGTGTACTATAGCTGTGACTTTTTGATAGGGCATAGGAACTTTTATTAACATTTTGAGAAAGAAAGGATACAGTATTTACAACTCTTGATACCCCCAAACATAGGAACTACCACCTTATCCCATTTCAATTTCACCTTATGTCTGAGCCCAAAACATTTGTTCACTGTGTACTCCATGCTTATCTAAGGTGTCAGCCATAACATTTGCCTATCTTTTGTACCCATTGAAAGGTAATTACTGATTCCCTTGCCAGCCATTTTATCTCCTTAATAACTTGTCTGTATTACAGTTGTGATTTAATTCTTGGTCTTAATTTGTATTTTAATAGCTTGTTAACAATTAATTACAAAACACTTTTATATAATTATATATATATATATATATGCATATATAATATCCTTATTAATTTTATTGCCTAGGTCAAAAGAATTGATAGAGCTCCTTTAGAAATGTTATGAAACACCATATTATTACTCTGTATCCCTGGTGTTGACTTACTTGCCAGGACAAAATACATAGGTAGTTGTCTGGTGCCTTAATTACACTTTCCTATACCATAGGTTTGGTTTCCCACCATGTTCGATGTTTTATTCTTTCTATTACTGGTGAGAAATGATGCCTTTTCACCTTTTCCTTCCTCTTTTTTCTAGCTTTTCCTTTTTTTTTCCTTTTTTGTCACAAGTAGAACACATCACTTTGAACTCTATTGCTTTACATGTTTAACATTCTTTTGTTTCCTCTTGGTCATTTTAAAATATTTTTGTTCTTTTTATAAAAATAAAAGTCTATGCTTTATGCAGTGTGCCATCTCTCAGTGCTGGTTTTGGAGGAGTTTTTGACAAAACAGTATCTAATGCAAATCCATGTTGAAGATTGAACTTTGTTTCACCTCTAATTGTGTTCAGTTGACTACCCTTTTAGCAATATATTCCTGTTATTAGCATGTTCAAAAATATTTTAAGGTCCAAAGGCAAACGAAGGTGCACAATATTGCCACATTTTATGGATTTTAGTTCATATTCTAGTCTAAAATATACACGTATATCAACTATTCATTTTAAGTTTTTATTAGAACTCAATTTTTCCTTGATTTGCCCAACATGTTACCTTTAATAGAATAGTTTTATTAAATACAATCCATGGAGTTGTTCACTTCAGTCTTTCTTTTTCCTTTTTTTTTCCATCTTGGGGTTTGGTGGGGGATAACCAATGGCCTTAATGGTTTATGTTCACCTTCTATTTATTTGTTTTACTATGCTTTCTCTCATACTTGTAAATATCAATTTATAGGTTGAGAAAAATGTCTTTGTTGTCTTTTATTCTGGAGAAAGAGCAAAGGCCAAAATTCTGAAGATTTGTGAAGCTTTTGGAGCAAACCGTTACCCATTTACAGAAGATGTGGGAAAACAAGGTCAGATGCTTACAGAGGTATGCTTTTTTTTCTTTTTTCAGTTTATTATTTCTCATGCCTGTTGTGCCTTGTTTTTAAATTTTCCTTCTTTCTTGATGAACCCTGACAATACCATTATTTATATTATTAAAAGTTCAAAACATTTTTTTATATCTTGCCTGGAACTAATCCCTTCATTCACATAATACATGCTATTTAAGTTTTGAATCTTGAAATTCACTGTGGATGTTTTGAATACTTTGTATTGGTTGAAACATCTGTACAATGAGATCTGTATCCCTTTAATCACTATACAGGGTCTATTATGAAACATTGTACATGGATACACTTAATACAATTACAAGATCAATATAATTTTTTTTGATGAGTGATAATAAATTTATTAATTCAGAAGCAGATTTAGAGTGAGTTCATACAACATCCCTGGGAGAGGCGCGAGCTGCAGCCCCTCCTTGAATCTTATAAGTAAACTAGGAAAGAAAAGCAAGAATCAGAACTGAGCCCAAAACAATTCTTCCCTATTTACCCCTTGCTTAGCTAACACTTCTAACAAAGTATTTGCTGATCTCCCCACCCACTGTACAGTGACCAACATATTCCTTGTCAACCAACTAAATTTCTTCATTTCATTCTTGTAATGCCACATAGCCTCTTCAGGATTTCTCAACCAACCCACCACCACTTTGGAATCCCTCTCGATTGTTAGGTGTTGTACCCCCAGCTGGTTTGAAAATTGCACCCCTTGTACAACAGCTAAAAGTTCTGCCCTGATGGAGTCCCCAATTCCCAAGGGACCTGAGTAGAGCAACAAAATCTCTACCTTCTCATTTCTCAAAGCACCCCCATTCCGGATAATCCTGGATTACACATGCTACTTCCGTCAAAGTTCAACTTCAGTGAGCCTTCGGATGGAGGAGACYAGCTTGTAATTGATTTGTYCTTTAGGGATGAACACCTCGCTACTGCTGACCAATTTCTCCAAAGGTCATTAAGGGAGAATTGATGAAAGATTTCCAAGGTCTTCAACCAAGGTATTGCTCTATTTAACACATAGTCTTTCAATTCCTGACTGCTCCTTTCCTTTTCTTGAAAAATTCTAATATTCCTTTCTTCCCAAAGGGTCCAAATCAAGGCAGCACGAGCACATCTCCACATAATTTTCCCTATTTTTGTAGGCCCATAAAAGGTAGAATGGTTGAAGAGCATGTGAACTTCTGCTGGTAGACTCCAACTACTCCAAAACAACGAAAGTAGCCAAGCCCAAAGGTCTGCAGAGAAGGGACAAGATATTAATATGTGGTAACAATTCTCACCGTGAGTTCTACAGAGGATGCACCAATTAGGAGAAATACAGAGGAAAGGTCTTCTCTTTTGTATGTTATCTAGAGTGTTTACTTTCCCATGGAATACTTCCCAACAAAACACCATAATTTTTTGGGGAACTAGCTTGCACCAAATTTCTTTTGACGGAAAGGGTTGGTGAGTAGAAAGTTGAGAGATGGACTTGAATAAAGAAGCACAAATGAAGGTTCCATTGGGTCTAGGAGTCCATACCCTCTTATTTGGCTTGGATGGATCCAAACAAACCTGATTAAGACAACTAAGCAAGACAGAAAGAGATTCAATTTCATCATCCCTAATTCCTCTACGAAACCCAAAATCCCAAGTAGGATCTAAGGTTGTTCCCAAAGGTGAGACAAATTTTGAGACCACCGCTTTTTTGTACAAAGAAACAGAAAATAGCGAAGGGAACTGATCCCTTAAAGGTGTGTCTCCTACCCAAATATCCTCCWAAAAATGAACAGTRTTGCCAGAACAAACTTCATACCTGATAAAATTGAGGAATTGAGGAAGGGTGTTGTGAATGGCCTTCCAAGGTGCTGCTAGGTTAGCTTACCTTGATACACCAACATCTCATCCATTCTCTGACCTCCCATGAATGCTTCCCACCACCTCATGCCACAATCTCTCTCTTTCCAATGGCCATCGCCACAACCATT